AGATCAGACTGTTCCATGTAATTATTTTGGGGAGAGATAACATTATAAATTGCATATGTAGAATTTGTCTAGGACATATTGCATTTTTTTTGTACAAAAATTTGTAATTGTTTTTTAAAATTTATATATATCTATTTGTTATTTGATTTTTCTTTTACATTGAATGAATGAAAGTTAAGATGATGAGTAAATTAACCCTGTTTTACATAATGATGGACCGGTCCATTATACAGTAAACTGTTGTGAATTTTGAATTCTAAGATATCTGGGTCAGCAAAAAGAGTGCAAATTACAGTGGATATACTTGATATTTTAACAATTTTGGAGTAAAGTTTTGTTTAAGATCTCAAAGTGTTAAAGTAATTGGTACAAGGAGATGTATAACATAATCAGGTAGTTATTAACTTTTAGTTACATTAATTTTATATGAAAACTATCAATACTAAGTAGCCAACTAAAATTTGTAACACTGAGAGGTCATTGTTGTTTTAGTATTTTCAACTTCATACATTTGTTTTTTTTCTGATAATTGTTTTAAATCTTTAATACATGTATTATTTGCAAATTAAAAATTATTCAATGATTTTTTTGTTAATATAATCATTGTGTAGATCTATATTGTATAAATAGCATGTAAGTATATCTTTTTCATTTCCTGGAAATTAAACAATTTAAATAAATTTGATTAAATAGGACTAAATGGTACAATCAGTAGTTTTGTACAGTTGAACAGGGTCATCATAATCATTTATTATTTTACATGTTTTGTTGTCTTTCCTATGGAACAATCTAAAAATTACATTTTACACTCATAATTTGCAGGCTGCTCAGGGACTTAAGTGCTGACTGTGAGATGCCAGGTGTTTAATAATGATGTGCAGTATTAATCCTGAAAAGGTATATTTTTAAATCTCTATACTTAACTATTCAACATCTTTCCTTGAAAAATACATAACCAGTAATAAAAAGTGTCACAAATAAAGCAGTCAGTTAATTCTTATACAGAGCAATTCTTAAACACTTGTACACTTGAATAACTGATTCTGTGTTGCTAAATTACTATTTTTGAATATGCTTTATAAGCATAGTTAATATTTAATACTGTTGCAACATAAAATTTGATATTATTAAAAAATATAAAATATAACTGCATGTAATTATGCAATAAAACATAATTGAGCCCTGTCATGACAAAACCAACATAATGGGTTTGCGACCAGCATGGATCCAGACCAGCCTGCTCCTCAGCGCAGTCTGATCAAGATCCATGGTGTTCGCTATCAGTTTCTCTACTTGTAATAGGGTTTGTAAGCGAACAGCATGGGTCCTGATGAGACCGCGCGGATGCGCAGGCTGGTCTGGATCCATGCTGGTAGCAAACCCATTATGTTGGTTTTGTCATGACACGGCTCAATTCATTACAAAATATTTTGTTTAATTAATTATGAATTTTATTATTAAAGGTGAGCACAACCACAAGAAGTTCTAGGAAACACAGGCAGTGGACTTAAAACAGACATGGATTAAAGAAATAGTAATTTAAATAATCAGAAACATTTGAAACAAATTTATGATTGAAACTCTTCTAGCAAAATAATTGCACAAAAAAAACAAAGTGTTGGATTTTAAGATTCCAAAACCTGCAGCTAGAAAAAAAAACTGTTTGTGTTATAGTGAATGTAGGGTATTCTATTCTGTATTTGGACTAAAGGATATGATATTTTTTTTATTAAATTTTGTGAAAGAAAATTTAATGTGATACATTATTGATAATTTTATCCCAAAATATGTGATCATGCTAAACTCATAAAATTCCGCCCCCTGAATTCTGTCCCAGAATTCCGCCCAGAATCTTGTTTGACAATTCCGCTCTGAAATTCCGCCCCAAGGTTCCGCCCCAAGATTCCGCTTCAAAATTCCGCCCCAAGATTCCGCTTCAAAATTCCGCCCCAACTCATTTGCATATTTCGTCCCAATTCCGCCCAGAATCCGTTCCGTTTCCGCCTGGAATCCGACCGGAATCCGTGCCAAAAGCAAATGGTTTAACACTTATATATTCGGGGGAGAATTTAAATTTCTGGGCGGAATCTGCCTTTGAATTCCGCCCCATTTCCGTGCAGAAAATTTCGTACAGGTACAGTTTGTTCTATGATCTGGATGCATTATTTGTAAGCCAGTATAGTTCCATAACATTTTAATTACTGGTCTTTCTTTTCATTTATTCATCATATATGATGTGACATTTGACATAGATACTGCACGTGATATATTCCGAGTTTTATCCTTACTGTGTGTAAAGTTTATTCTTTGACCCAACCTTATTATAAGTAAGCTTATCGTTCCACGTAGTTTGCCTGGTCTTTCTATTCATGATTCGAATACTTTTAACTCTATGAAGTGAATTCTGGTAAAACACAAGTTATATCATTTATCATTATAGCATCGTGTCTTAAGTTTACAACACGTGTCAATATATATGTGGAGGCACATATACCGTGACACTATTAAAGCTGATAAAATAGCTCACAGATTGGGTTATGGTAGATCCAGCAAAGTGTCGAGTCCTGTGTATATCTGTGATATTTAAGTGTCCACTGTTATACTTGGCACGCTAAAGAACCAGAAGAAACTTCTGGAATTGGGGTATCTTTCTATATCTGCATGTTGCACTATCTCCAAAAATCTAAAATAACTAACAATCTTATGGCGGACTCGCCCATAAGGGCAGTCGGTGGTGAGTATAAGATACACATCAAATATACACACACACACACACACACACACACACACACATTGCATAGTTATATAATTTAATATCATTAAGAAAGACACTGAAAATGAGCACATTATAGTTATTACATATAAAATACAAAACGTTCAAAAATCGATAACCTGAATTGATAATGCAGTTCAAGGGAGAATAATAATGTATTATCAATCTACTTAAAAGGAATTGTTTCCCTTTAATCATAATTGCCACATTTATTTCGGAAAGATTTTGAGGAAAGTCATCATGTTAAAGGGAAACTAGTCAAATAGTCAAGTATATCTTTTTACAAGGGTTATTTTCCTTTGATTAGACAGTAATGTATATATATATATACACGATTGAAACACCCTACACTGCAGATTATTTCAAAGTTGCTATTTTCATGATTTTGAGGATGTTTCTGATTTTTTTGTAAGAAGAAATCTGCGGAACATGAAGAAAACATTCGTAACAGTATTATGACACTAGGCCTACCGAATTTGCCAAGTGCGAGACCCAAATCGGCTTAGGTAATTGCAGATTATTGATGTCTATGTCGAATAAATATCGGCTTTGCTTGTTTAATGCATTGCTTTTTATCACTTTGAGGATTTTAAACTTATTTTAATACTATTATGTATAGTCATATCTGGCTAAATGAACTTCACTGAAAATTGTGTAATTTTCAATGTTACTTATTACCTTGACCTTTTTCCATCTTGAATTAAAATTGTTTTACCGACCAAACATTGTATTGATATAGTTATAAAGTGTCAACATATTGTTTTAGCAATATGATTTTCCTTCAGAATGGCGAATGCATTTGCGTATATTTTGCATACATTTGCATACATTTTATTAAAACTTACAGTCGTTATTCAATGTAAGAAGCGATTCCTACCTGTTACAAGTTGTAGTAAATTTATATCTCAAAATAAGAGTATTATAGTATAGAATGTTTAAATGAGGTATTTGTATATCTTTAAGTACATTTTACAAAATAAATCAAAGTAAAAGTGCTCAATAAATCAATGTAAAAGTGCTCAGTCTTAATGATAAACCCTTTTGAATTATAAAGAGTTAGACCTGAAAAAGCAAAGTAGTCTGTACATTATGACTCGAACATGATTTGCCTTGATTTGTTTTGACTATCATGTTATTCATAGGATATACATATATAATCAAGCGTAATTTGTCATTTCTTTATTAATAACAGAGAAAATTAAAATTTCTGGAATTCAAACAGTACTGTCACGGTTAGAATGTATTAGTATGTAAAAATAAAAAAATCCATGAAAATATTAGAAACGAGAGATATTCTGTTAACATGATTCAGTGAACATCATTATAGGATGTTACTTACAAAAGCATTGACTACATATTCTACTTGCACTTTTGTTCATATTTGTTTTAAAATTGTTTTTGACAGATTGGTGTCAACCAACACCAGCTAAAGGAAGTTAGAAAGAGTTTCGCCCCAATGCTTGTTGAAAGTGTTTTTCAGGTAATATTTTAATAACATCGTAGTTATACTTTGTCTACACTAAATAAGACAACTTTAAAAATTTACAACATGTCCGAATCTTTTTCCGTTTAATGTCAATCCATCACTCTTTACTTATTTCACATACATTAAGAAATGATAAGAATGAATAAAACGACGGCGGCGCGGGTCAAAAACACGGTAATTAGTGGGCGCGCGGGGCGAAAATACGCTAATTAGCGTAGGCCCGGAGCGTAAAAAGGAAGGTTTTGTAGAATAATTTGGCAGGGGCGAAAACAACAGCACGTTAATTAGCGCCCTTTAACAATAAATATTTTTCTTCGTAGCCCAGCTATTTCACAATTAGATCTCGACTTTTCGTCCCGCGCCCCGCTGGTTAGTGTGTGTTTTCGCTCCGCGCCCGACATTATAAATTGATAAATCTCCACTGTTCGCTTTGCGGGGTCGTGGAGCGAAAACACGAATTGCACAAATCAGGCAACATAGTGTAACATTAAAATAGAGACTTGATCGCATGATCGTCTTCAAAAGATATAATAGTTTGCACAATATGCATTTTTTGTAACAAATATAAAACTATCAATGGATCTGATAAAGTCGGTGACAGAAATATCATTTTACAATGTAAATAGATCAGGTCTTCATTCAAATCATAAAACTTGCCAAAATAAAATCGATTTTTATATACAAATTAAAATATATATTCAAATAAAATTTTAGTCTTCAAAATAAAATTGAAAGGCTTATCTTTAAACTGATAGGGAAGTTTATTTTGTTTTGATACTTATTTTATACAGCGCAACATGAAAATAACAGGACACTCCTTACTTTATGCCTGAGCTTTTAAAACAGGTTTAAATGGATATATTAACACAGTCAGGTTAAAATGAATAATCAAACTACGGAACGTATTAAGGAATCTTTGGTTTCCTCCAATCCCCATGGTACCTCTGGAAGCGACTTTTTAAGTGTTCGATGTCCTAATTCTAAAGACGAGTCAGATCTTCTTAGTGAAGTAAATATTAAAGACGACAGCGAATCTCTTGCGGAAGCCTCGTTTGCAGGGGACGCTGATGAAAATATAAAGGATCCATGAGCAGTTTGTTTTACTAATCGTAATTTTCCAAAGAAGGCTACTCACTTTTGTAATGATTGTGGACTTTTGGGACATTTTCTGTGTGAACAATGTTTGGGCTTTCACAAGAAGTTTACCAACCACAAGTCTGTTAAATCATTCGCCTCAGCAAAATACAAGAGAGGGTATGTTAAATCTTTAAATTACCTTCTTAGCTTTTACTATGTTTCTTAATTTTATAAGATATCCGGTGTTTTTGTCCAATTTTCTGTCTGTTCTATTGTGTCGTTTTCTATACAGGCAAATTTTTTTATTAACATAATGAAATACATAGTAAGGGTAAAATTAAACGAATGTATAAACACATGTACTTAACCAAAGTCACATTCACCACCATCGATCCAATGGATGTCAGATCCATAGTTTGAAAAACTTTGTTTTCAGGTAAGTAAACCTTAATATGCACTATAAGGAATTGAAAAATTGACAACATATGTCAGTCAGATGCAAAACGTCTTTAATTCTTTACCGTACGTTTTATGAGTTAGGACATTTTTCTGAATAAATTATTAGATGATAGAAGGGTTCTTTATAAGAAATAAGAGAATTCTAAATAGTCTGTAAATCATACTTATGAAAAATATTTGTGCTATTGATAATAACTCAGAAACAAATAATAATATTCAGCTAATAAATGACAGAATCCAAAAAAAAATATTTTATTTCTTTTTAAAAACGTTTATAGTACAGTTGAGACCGTCTTAATGACTCCTTGTTTGTCACCCTATTATATCCCTAGCGAAGTATATTTCATTACAATTGCCAAAAGGTATGTCTGTAGCGACTCCGGTTGAGATTGTTTAACGACACAATATTTACTCCCAAATCGGTAGTTTAAACCTATATAACGATTTTTAGGAGAATTATAATCGAACACGATAACGTTTGCATTACTCGATCGTACCATTTTGATATAATGGGTTGTTGAAGTTCTTTTATGATTACATGCAATATAGAAGTGGATATAGACACGCAGATCAGAGTAGCGTAGTGGTTAGAGAGGTCAGGTTATGAAGATCTCAGGTTATGAACATGTTTTTTTCTGGTGCAAATCTGCAATTGTGCACATTTTTAAGTATGGGATTTATTTTTAGAATATACATAGTGTGTCACGTAACTTATCAATTTCTCTTTTATAATGTTTTGCACAATGTAAAGATAAACTTATGACGGTTAAGCATTAAAGCAATTGAATGTATTTCATTTTGATTCAACTGTCATTGAACAGATCGAATAGTTTTATCAATTTTATTCTGTTTGAAACTCTGAATTCCATTCGCCACATTGAAAACAACATTTGGCTAATTTGTTTATTATATAATTATATTCTTTCTTCCATTGCTCATTTATCACCCTTATCAAAACTGTGTTGTCTTATACTTACATGTTGAATGTGAATGTGTGTACAACAAAACGTTCTCAATGAACATTGTGTGCATAAAACTCACGCAGAACCAAAATCCAGTTCGTTTGTTTTAAATAGCCCCCCTCTTTTAAAACAAAAAAGAAAAGAAAAAATGGCTTATCAAGGATTCCAACCAGGGTATCTACATTAACAGAGCGAACACTCTATTATTACGACACATGAAAAATGAGTGATTGATTAGGTGGTGGTCAAACAATTAGGCGATAAATGGTACACTTTTATACATGTATAGAAATTATCGACACTCGATCCTATTTGCTAATATTGATGTAAACATATAATAAAAGGAATAGGGAATTCGAGCTTTTTGTAGATATTATTTGACAATATTGGCATGTGACTCATTAATGTTCGGGTGGGGGTGGTCGTAGGTCTCCGTAATTTATTACGATTTATGCTTAGGGTTTTAATAATAGTATAGATCTCGATATTAATTGAATCAATAACAACTGCTCGATGGCCTAGTGGTAATACAACTGAATTGTGACAAGTTCGTACATCAAACAGACCTTTCTTTCATGATAGTTTTCATCAACTGATTTTTAATATTTCTTTAAATTATTTAAAACATGAGTTGATAAATCGTGTGTTTCATTTCGTGCAGCTTTTAATTTCATAATTATGATAAATACATATTTTTCATTTTATTAATTTCAAAATGTACGACTTTACATAATGATACGCATACATATAACACCATAAGATCAAGTTTGCAAAATATAATAAAAATCACATCAGAAAGCATAAAAAATTATTTTCTTTTGACCCTACAATTTTCAATTTAAAAGTAAATAAAAGTGTAACACTCTGTCATTAGATTATTTATTTTAATATGAATCTACCTGTAATATGATCATGGCTCAGAAAATCCAACTGAATATCAAACGTTATGGTTAATGTATGATAGAGAAACACTTATTTGACTTTTGGGTACCTTAATCCCAAACTTCTTAAATCATTATTCTATTTGCATATGACCATGGCTAAATCATTAATTTGAAAAAATAACTCAATATATACTTTTTTTAGTTTAATTTTAGCTTGTTTTAGGTTGATTTTATTTTGTTAAATCAAATATAGTTCTGTTTAATGAGTACACGAAAGGAAACTGATCTATTGACAAAACAGCAGTAATTGTGTTTAATGACCCCCTATTTCTAGTGAGAGTCTAGTTCAAAATTCCATGAATACATTGTATACCCAATGGAGGGTTTCTTTTGAAAGTTTATCTAATTTTGCAGCAGTATACTGGATGATCTCGTCAAATTTCAAAGTATTTACTGTGTAGGATTTAATTTGTATTATATTTTGAAAATAGCAGGTACCAGATTTATAAATGAATCTAACATTCAGCTAATTACTACCAGCAGAATGTTTGAAATTTAAACAAACACCTTGAAGTAATAAGTTCTTAGGTAGCATTGTAGATCTAAAACAATACTTTAATGTTAATAGGTATTTATGTATGGACACAAATAGAATGACAAATTGAATAGAGAAAGAAAACTGAGTAACAATAGTATTATAATGATAAAAATCCTGAATCAAATAAAAGACTGTATTCCCTTCAATGGTCATGAAAGCTGTTTAGTATCTTAATACTAAAAACATAATGTTAAGACATGCAATTGAAAAAATGTTTGAAAATGATGCTTATAAATCAATAAAGTATCAAAACGTTTATCATTATAGTTAAATTTTCACTTACTAAAAGCATGATTATCTGTACAAGTACACCATCCAGTAAAAGGAACCCAAAAGAAAAGGACACACAGGAGCTACAAAATGAGATAGACAAATTGAAGGAAAGGATAGTTATATATCGTAATGAATTAGACCCGTACGTATTATAAATATTTATGTATTGTCATGAGAAATTTTGCATTTTTTCTTTTTACTTTTTAGTCTAAATGCTTATATTATGATTTAATACTATAAGACGGAAACCACAAAAACAACTTCTTTCTGTATCCATAAAATAGCAAAAAATATAAAAGATATCTAACATTCCATTTGGTTGCTTTTTATTCGTAACAATTGCAAAACTTGACCAAAAATAGTGATTTGCATCATTTTTCTACAGATTTTCTAAAATGCAACAATATTTTACAAGTCTAAAGGATTAATCGCAAAATAATAATTGTATCTTACATTCATTTCGTCATTAACAAACACGAGAGCAGTTACTTAATGCCATGCAGCGTTTTATTTTAGTGTCAAGATAAGAGCAGAATTAGACTTAACAGACGAATCAATGATCAACGTTTTAAGGGAGGAAAATTTAAGGTAAATATTGACACATTTAAAATCTTTTAATGTATGAATTTATAATAGTTTATTTTTTTAGGTTGTTCTCAATAGCTACATTAATGCAAGGAGATGCTTTATTCTTCATTTATAATAATCAAAAAAGTGAAAAATATATGTTTTAATCTGTGTTATTCTCTAAAAAATTTCAGACTGATAGCAGAAGTAAAATCATACCAATCAAAGGATTCTACAGGGAGGTAATTTCAATTTTGAAATAGAATTTGCATTTCCATCATGATCAAGCATTTTTAAATTATGTGATATACATAATCATAGTTTCTGGATGATAACATTAAAACGATTTTCACATTCGTCTCTAATTAGTTCTAATATGAAATGTAATCTCGCTGGAATAATCACTTCGTTCCGCTCTTACATTCTTCGCTAAAAATTTGGAGCGTCAGCTAGGATATGATGTTTATGAGAATGTGTCAAAAATGCAAAGAAATACGTAAGTGGCTGTAAAGTTATGTAAGTTACAATTGAATATATGTGTATTTGTGTGAAAGGTTTTCTATCCCTGCACAGACAAAGTTTCGAAATATATGTACGTTTCCAGTTAGAGTGTTTTTTATAATCTGTACACGTTTTTTTTCTAAAGAATAAATAACCACACAAACACATAATTATAAAAAAGAAATGCACACAATATTTACTCCCAAATCGTAGTTTAAACGTATATAACGATTTTAAGGAGAATTATAAGTCGAACACGATAACGTTTGCATTAATAGGTCGTACCTTTTTGATTTCATGTGTTGTTCAAGTTGTTTAATGATTACATTTTGCCTTTATATTGCAATATAGAAAAATAAAAGTGGTTATAGACACGCAAGTCCTAGTAGCGTAGTGAGTTCAGGTTATGAAGATCTCATGTTATAATTATGGTTTTCCGAGTTCAAATCTGCAATTGTGCACATTTTTAAGTATGGGATTTATTTTCACAATATACATAGTGTGTCACGTAACTTTTCAATTTCTCTTTTATAATGTTTTGCACAATTTAAAGATAAACTTATGACGGATAAGCATGATGGAATGTATTTGATTCTAATTTTACTGCCATTGAACAGATCGAATAGTATTATCAATTTTATTCTGTTTGAAACTCTGAATTCCATTCGCCACATTGAAAACTAGAAATGTGTCCATAGGACACGGGTGCCCCCACCGCGCCACTGTTCTGTCAATCTTATGACTCTAGGTCAAATATTTTTTGAAAACTAAAAACATTTTACTAAGTAAAGGGCAAGAACTTTACAAATACTGAATAAATCCATAAGCAAACCCCAAGGTGCATAAGTACACATGCTGACCAACATTCTTGTAAACTTTCAGGCCTACAAGTGAAATACTTTTTGAGCTATGCATGAACAAGTTGAAAATTGCAAATTTATACTACTGTAAGTCAAGGGCAATAACTCTTAACAAAACTGAAAAAAATCCACATGCAAAGTCCCAGGTGCATAGCTTCACTGTGATGTGAATCATTATTCCAGTAATTTAGTGATGTTGATCATTATTCCTGTAAAGTCGGTTGATTGTAACTCAAGCACTCAAGGAACAAATAACAACATAATGAAAAAATTTTTACTAAGTCAAGGGAAATAACTCTACAAATACTGGATAAATCCACAAGCGAAACCCAGGTGCAAATCTAAATATGCTGAGCAACCTTCCCGAAAGGTTTAATGACTCTATGTCAAATCCTTTTTGAGTTACATGCGACAAAAGTTGAAAATTGCAAAATTTTCTAAGTCAAGGGCAATAACTCTAAAATAATAAATAAATCCAGACAAAAATACCCGCTGCACAACTGCACATGATGATCAATATTCCTGTGAAGTTTCATGACTCTATGTCAAATACTTTTTGAGTTATATGCGACACAAGTTGAAAATTGCAAAATTAAGGGCAATAACTCCAAAAATACTTAATAAATCCAGACGAAAATACCCAGGTGCACAACGAAACATGCTGATCAACATTCATGTAAAGTTTCATGACTGAAGGTCAAATGCTTTTTGAGTTACATGCGACACAAGTTGAATATTGCAAAATTTTACTAAGTCAAGGGCAATAACTCTAAAAATACTAAAAACATCCAGATCACAATACCCAGATGCACAACTACACATGCTGATCAACATTCCTGTAAAATTTCATGACTCTATGTCAAATACTTTTTGAGATACATGCGACACAAGTTGAAAATTGCAAAATTTTACTAAGTCAAGGGCAATAACTCTGAAAATGCTAAAAATATCCAAACGAAAATACTAAGGTGCACAACTACACATGCTGATCAACATTCCTGTAAAGTTTCATGACTCTAGGTCAAATACATTTTGAGTTACGTTTGTCACAAAAGTGAACGGACGGAAAGACGGACGGAAAGACGGACGGAAGGACGGACGGACAAGGGTAAATCTAAATGCCCGCCACTAAAGTGGGGCACAACAAAATTTGGCTTATTTGTATATTATATAATTATATTTTTTTCTTTCACTGCTCATTTATCAGCATAATTACGACTGTGTTGTCTTATACTTAACCTGTTGAATGCGAATGTGTGTACAACTAAATGATCTCTGGATAGCATTGTGTGAATAAAATTCACGCAGAACCAAAATCCAGTTCGTTTTTAAATACCCCCCGCCCCAAAAATAAAAAAGAAAAGAAGAAATGGCTTTTCCAAGACAAGATTCCAACCAGGGTATCTACACTAAGAGAGCGAACACTCTACCATTACTCTATTATGCTAAACGCATAAAAATTATTGATTGATTAGGTGGTTAAACATTAAGACGATAAATGGTACACTTTCACTTTTATGTAAGAATTATCGACACCTCTATTTGTCAATATTGATGTAAACAGAAAATGAAAGGAATAGGGAATTCGAGCTTTTTGTAGGGTATTGTATGACAATATTGACATGTGACTCATGGGGGTGATCGTAGGATTCGTGATTTATTACGATTTATGCTTAGCGTAATAGTATAGATCTCGATATAAATTAAATCAATAGAAAATGTTCGATGCCCTAGTGGTAGGTAATACGACGGAATTGTGACCACGTTATTGCAATTTCGTACATTAGACATACCTTTTTTGTAGTGTTCATAAAAAGATTTTTTAATATTTCTTTAAATTATTTGTAACATGAGTTGATAAATCGTGTGTTTCATTTATAACAGTTTTTAATTACATAATTATGATAAATACATATTTTTCATTTTATTAATTTCAAAATGTACGACTTTACATAAAGATACGCATACATATAACACCATAAGGTCAAGTTTGCTAAATGTAATGAAATTTACGTCAGAAAGCATAAAAATTCCATTTCATTCGAACCTACAAATTTCAATTTAAAAGTAATTGAAAGTGTAACACTGTCTGAATCTGGTAAGGCAAGTGATACCTGTAATTGTTTGCATCGTACTTTAAAATTCGTTTGGTTTACTTCGGAATCTAATAATCACCGACAAAAGGTCGTTGAATAGTCATTATTGCCAAACAATATGATAAAACTTGTTTTTGACTTTATCCTTGTGAAATGATGATGTTTCCACTCGATCGTTTGCTTAAAATTCCTATCAAAATAAATAGTATGAAGACTGAATAATTCGATTTCAAAAGAATTGAATTTACACTATTTACACTATTGATAACATTATTTATTTTAACATGGAACTACCTGTAATGTGATCATGACTCGGAAAACCCAACTGAATTTAAAGCTTTATGGTGAATGTATGATAGAGAAACATTTATAAGACCTTAGAAGTAAATACATTACATTAGAGTTTCATGTAGCCAGGTAATTTATACATCTGTCGTTATTTACACTATTGATAACATTATTTATTTTAACATGAAACTACCTGTAATGTGATCATGACTCGGAAAACCCAACTGAATTTAAAGCTTTATGGTGAATGTATGATAGAGAAACATTTATAAGACCTTAGAAGTAAATACATTACATTAGAGTTTCATGTAGCCAGGTAATTTATACATCTGTCGTTATTAGGAAAATTTATTATGTTAAAAAAAGAACAATGTTTGGTACATGTATTTGCATTAAATGGATAAGTATTTTTCATCGATATGTTTCATTTTAAAACTCAATGTATTTTTTTATTTAAAACAATAAAATATTAATAATAACTCTGAAACAAAGAAAGGTCCTCCAAGCTAACATGATTAAGTTGATTTTGCCCTTTACCATGTAACGATAAGATTTGTATATTACTCCTGTTTGTTACTACAGTGTACTTTACATAGGCACATAACAATACATTAATTGGTAAAGACTGTTACGTGAAAATGTATAAACATGTGTAGATAAAACATTTTTTTCTTATTTGAAAAACATTCTAACGTTGATTTCCTTTCAATACAATTTGGTTGTTTTTAAATGAAATATGTTTGATGATATTCTTATCGTTTGATATATACTTGGCACTTGCATTAGATAAAAGCACAGAAATTTTTATAACCAATGTACACCGTAATTAATGACACCAAGATAATCAACTTCTACCTACCATTTGGCACATCATAATATTGTATTGGACACTTTATTTGTTAAGTCATGACTATATCCAAAGCGTTAGTTTTTTTTTTCCAGCAAAGGTGTGCAAGGAAAGGAGAAAAATATTCAAGAAATGATATAAGAGAAAAGAAACATTGAAACTGATGAAAGTAAACTAAAAATGAATGTGAAAATATCGGCTATCAGATAATAGTGATAACTACTTTTAATGTTTGTGATAGCATTACCAATCAGCCTGTAAATAATACTTAAAATGACTTTCTAGTGTGATTATCAGTCCGATCTGAAAGTTTTTATTTTATTAAAATGGTTTTACTTACAGAAAAGAAGTTGAAATAAGAAAAAGAGATTTACGGGAGTGTAAACTGACAATGGATTTTGGTAGAAGGTTTGTCACTTTTCCAACTTAAACTACATCCACGCCATAATAATTATTACAAATCAGTTTCTATATAATAATAATCAAAGCATTTTAACCATAAACCTCGAAAAGTAAGATTTTTATTTTGCTGAATCTTCTTCCTGTAAGACAGACGTTATTTTCCAATATCTGGAATTCTCATATTTTTTTCTCCATTTAATTATATTTATACTACTTTCTGCGAAAAGGCAAAATCAGAATTGATAACA